TTCGGAGTGGACCCTTCGGACTACATGCTGTCGCTGTGCGGTGATACAGCATTGAGGGAGCTGTCATCCCCGGGCAAGTCAGGCAGCGTCTTCTATCTCTCCCACGACGATCGCTTTATTATCAAGACCATGCGGCGAGCCGAAGTGCATGTAAGTTTTTAAGGTGCTAAGCGGTGCGACTGGTATTGTTAAACCGCCTCTATGCAAGTCTGGCAGCGTCTTCTATCTCTCGCACGAAGCGGTCAAGCAGTACAGCTTCTCTACTTATCATGCCATCACAATTCTCGGTCACTCCCTCCTGTCTTCCTCTCACTACCTCTCTCGCCCTTCCTCCCAGGTGCTCCTGCGAATGCTGCCAGCATACCACGAGCACGTGAAGCAGTACGAGCACACCCTCCTCACCTCCTCTCCTTGCCATGCCGCCACAACCCTCTGTCGTTCCCTCCCTCCCTCTCTCCCTCCCAGGTTCTCTTGAGAATGCTGCCAGCATACCACGAGCATGTGAAGCAGTACGAGCACACCCTCCTCACCAAGTTCTTCGGCCTGCACAGCTGCAAGATCTACAAGCCCTCCACCGTGAGTGACCAACTGTGCCATAGTTGTATGACCGCATACATACATACATACATGCATACATGTATGCGTGCCTGTGTGCACCTCACCTATTTGGCATCTCACCAAGTTCTTCGGCCTGCACAGCTGCAAGATCTACAAGCCCTCCACTGTGAGTCACCGGTGCCGTGCTGTGCTGTGGTCATACTGATTGTTATGCATGCCTGTGTGCGCCTAAACCCTGTGTTCTTCAAGGAGTACGAGCACACCCCTTCGGCCTGCACAGCTGCAAGATCTACAAGCCCTCCACCGTGAGTGACCAACTGTGCCATGATCGTTTGTACACGTGTACTACTCTGTGCATGTGTGCCTTCGAGTTGACTGTTGAGTCGACTCTAAAGTCAACTCGTGAGTGACCAACTGTGCCATGATCGTTTGTACACGTGTACTACTCTGTGCATGTGTGCCTTCGAGTTGACTTGAGTCCACTCTAAAGTCAACTCGTGAGTGACCAACTGTGCCATGATCGTTTGTACACGTGTAATAGTATCCTGTGCAAGTGTGCCTGAGCGCCTGAGAGCACCTTGTTTCATCGCACAGCTGCAAGATCAACAAGCCCTCCACTGTGAAGGATGGTGCTGGATCAGCTGCAGGAATCTCCAACAGGGAAGCACCATGATTCTCTTTGTGGTGATGGGCAATATCTTCAACTCTGATGTGCGGCTGCACCCTTCTTCTCATCCCTCCCCCACCCACATCCTGTGCCTCCCACTTCGCTTGCCTTGTTTCCCCCCATACAGGGCAGCACCATGATTCGCTTTGTGGTGATGGGAAACCTCTTCAACTCCGATGTGCGCCTACACCGTCGCTCATTCTCCCACCCACCCCTTCTTCTCTTCCTCCTTTCACCCCTCCTCCGTTCCTCCATCCCATACAGGGCAGCACCATGATCCGATTTGTGGTGATGGGCAACCTATTCAACTCCGACGTGCGCTTGCACCGCCGCTTCGACCTCAAGGGCTCCTCACAGGGTCGCAGCATGGACAAGGTGGCAATTGACGAGACCATGACCCTCAAAGACCTGGATTTGGACCTCGCATTCCGGCTGCACGGGGGGTGGAGAGACCTCTTGTTAAGGTGCGTGTGTGTGTGTGCCATGTGGGCATGAGAGGTGCTTGTCGCTTCGACCTCAAGGGCTCATCACAGGGGCGCAGCATGGACAAGGTGGCAATCGATGAGACCATGACACTCAAAGACCTCGACCTGGACCTTGCATTCCGGCTGCACGGGGGGTGGAGGGACCTGCTGCTCAGGTACGCACTTCTTCGCCATCATTCCCAAGAGGTGGTTGCAGCAGGCTCCTTTGGCCCCTCAGGTGCTCCTCACAGGGTCGCAGCATGGACAAGGTGGTGGTCGATGAGACCATGACACTCAAAGACCTCGACCTGTACCTCGCCTTTAGGCTCCACGGGGGGAAGAAGCTGCTGTTAAGGTGCGTGTGGGTGTGACAGATACGTGGCCTCAAAGGCTCATTGCAGGGCTCCTGCTCACAGTCTCAGCGCATTATGCTGCTGGGCGTGCGCGTGCCTGCTGCTGGGAGTTCCTTCTGTCCCCCTCCGCATCACAACTCCCGCCACACCGTTCTTCTTACACACCCCTTTTCACTCAATTGGCAGCGGACTGTCATATTCTGCAGTCTCACTGCATAAGGGAATAATGTTTCCTATTGGGAGTGCACTGTTTTGTCTTCCTCTCTACATCACACCTCTTTCCTCCCCCCCTTTCTGCACCTCTTCCCCCTTCCAGGCAAATGGCAGCGGATTGCCATTTCCTCCAGTCTCAACGCATCATGGACTACAGTCTCCTCTTGGGAGTGCATTTCCGAGCCACGGACCCGCCTCCCCCTATAGTCACCATCGCTGAAGGCAAGGTCACAGGCCCGGAGGCATTCCTTCCCCCCACCTCCTCCTCCTCCGCCTCTGCTCTCCCCTTCCCCTTCCCCTTCCCCTTCCCCAAATCCTCCTCCTCCTCCGCCCTCTCCTTTTCCCCGCTTGAACCCCCCTCGGGAGGGGCAAACGGGTTGCATATGCAGTTTGGAGGTGGGGTGATGGGGGGAGGGGGTGGGGGAGAGGGAGCGGGGGGGGGAGGGGTAGGAGTGAGTGTGGAGGAGGGGGAAGAGGGTGTTTATACTCCTGGGTCGGAGGAGCCTCAGCCATTGCCCCCTTGGGCGAGTGAGGGGAAGGGAGGAGGAACAGGAAGCAAAGGAAGGGGAGGAGGAAAAGGAGGTGGTGGAGGGAGAGGGGGAGGGGAAGCGGGAGGGGAAGGGGGAGCAGCTGGGGGTGTTGATTTGGAAGCAGCAGAGAAAGTAGGGGCAGGTTCAGGGGCGGGTTCAGTGAGTGGGAGGAAGAAAGGGCTTGGGGCACCTGCTGGTCCCGTAGGGAAGGTGAGCCGAGGGAATAGGTTCGGTAATCGGGTTAGAAAGCCTCGTTCGGCCCCAACCTCGCACGAGAACCTGGCTCTGCTCGGGCCTGCCGAGCCTGGGCCGCCGAACCTGCAAGGGAGGCTCGGATGCCAGGAAGCAAGAGTAGGTACGGGGGGAGGGGAGGGTGAGGCGGAGTGCAGGAGAGAAGGGTGTTCGTTGGGGCAGCAGGCTGAGGCGGTGGGAGGGGAGAGGGTGACCGATGGGTGTGTAATGGGGAGGGATGCGGTGAGGGGGGATGCGGTGAGGGGGGATGCGGTGAGGGGGGATGTGCTGACTTCTCCTCTTCAGGGGGGGTCGAGTCCTCATCTCCCCCTCTCTCCCCCTTCTCCACTGCCCCCGCCTGAGCTGTACCCGTCTTCACTGCAACCACCGCCAACACCGGCCGCAGCAGCAGCATCATCATCACAAGCAACAGCAGCGGCACCACCATCACCAGCAGCAACAGGCAGCCAGCAATCCGCATGGATCGGCCGATTCTCCCCTTCGTCTCAAACCTGGCGCCGCCTTTTTCGGCCCTGGCAGCAGCAGCAGCAGCAGCAAGCGCGACACACACAGGGTTCGACCACCCAGTCAGTGCGGGCCAGGAGGGCAGTCACGAGCGATGGACCACCGCTCGTCCGCCACTCCTCTGACAACGTCGCTCACCTGCTCTCCTCCCTGCGCCCTGGGCCCCAAGCAAGCCCTTTCTTGCGCCCTGGCAATCAAGCAAGCCCCTTCTTGCGCCCTGGCAATCAAGCAAGCCCTTTCTTGCGCCCTGGCAATCAAGCAAGCCCTTTCTTGCAGCCCCAAGCCTCTGGGGCGCCTCAAACCCCCCAGCCCCACCCCCTTGCTGCCTCTCAGACCAACCAGCTGTATAGCACTGGTGCTGGTGGGGGAATGGGAGGGGGAGTGGGAGCGGGAGCGGGAGGGGGAGGGGGAGGGGGAGGGGAAGGGGAAGGGGGAGTGGGAGGTGATAGGGAAGGGGGAGGGGTAGGGGGAGGGGGGTCTAGCATTCCCCATAGTGGAGAAATGACCTGCTATTCAGTCTTTGCCAGGTTAAGCCACACGCACCCAGACCCACCGCCTCTCACCATACCCCCCTCCGCCACCGCACCTGAAGCCACCTTCTCAGGTGTTTCCCCAGGTACTCCCGCCTCCAACACCTTCCAAACGCCTCCTACCGCCCCTGGTATCGCCGGCGCCCCGCCAGGTGATTCTTCAGGTGCCGGCAACAGAGCACCTCCAGGCAGCAGCAGCATCAGCAGCAGCCCAAGACCCCCGGCAGGATCTGCCTCTGCCTCTGCCAGTGCTAATACCTCTGCTAGTGCCAATGCCTCTGCTAGTGCCACTGCCACCAAGCCTCCCTCCCCCAGATTCGGTCTGTCTGCTCTAGTGGGTGCGCTACGATCCCCCACACCGAAGAGGCAGAGCCATGTGAAGCGAGGGGGCGGGCTGTCTGTGCCTGCTAGCCCGTGGCTGCACCCTGTGCTGGGGAAGGTGCATGTGCAACCACAGCAGGACGAGGGCGGGCAGGGGGAGCAGGCGCAGGGGCAGGGGGAGCAGGCGCAGGGGCAGGGGGAGCAGGGGCAGGGGCAGGGGCAGCAGGGGCAGCAGGGGCAGCAGGAGCTGCAGCAGCAACCCAGGCGGCCACCTGAGCCACTATCAGTGGCAGCACAGCAGCCAGTGCATGCACTTGCACATGCACAGAGGCAGGGGAGGGGGATGGTGGGGGTGCTGGGGCAGTATGGGCAGCAGCAGCAGGGTAGAGGGGCGGAGGCGGTGCTAGGGCAGGGCATGGCGGCAACAGCTGTGCGGCTGGACAGGAGGAGCAGGCGGTCCATCAGAGACCCCACCCGGGCAGAGGCGTATGAGGTGGTGCTCTACTTTGGCATCATTGATATCCTGCAGGTGGGTGTGTGTGGGTGGGTGTGGGTGGGTGTGGGTGGGTGTGGGTGTGGGTGTGTGTAGCTGGTTGCACGTGGGTGAGCGGGGAAGCTTTGGGGGTGTGATCGTGGGTGCAGAGGCGTATGCAGTGGTGCTGTACTTTGGCATCATTGATATCCTGCAGGTGGGTGCGTGGGTGGGTGCATATGGGTGTGTGTGCGTGGGTGCGTGGGGGAGACTGTGAGGCTGATCAAAGACCCCACCAGCACAGAGGCGTATGAGGTGGTGCTGTACTTTGAGACGTCTCAAAACACTTCTTCATACAAGTGGTGCTGTACTTTGGCATCATTGATATCCTGCAGGTGGGTGCGTGGGTGGGTGCATATGGGTGTGTGTGCGTGGGTGCGTGGGGGAGACTGTGAGGCTGATCAAAGACCCCACCAGCACAGAGGCGTATGAGGTGGTGCTGTACTTTGAGACGTCTCAAAACACTTCTTCATACAAGTGGTGCTGTACTTTGGCATCATTGATATCCTGCAGGTGGGTGTGCGCATGGATACTCTTGAGATTCTCAATAACCACCCCACTACCCAACCCCTCAACCACCCTGTACCGCACCACACCACAGGAGTACGACTACCGTACACGAAGAAGGTGACAAGTCTTTGCAAGAGATTGTTTTTTTTGCATTGCTAAAAGAACCACCCCTAACCACCCTGTACCGCACCACACCACAGGAGTACGACTACACGAAAAAGGTGGAGCATTTCTACAAGTCGTGGCAGGATCCTATTGAGAATTCTCAATAGCCACCCCCCAACCCAACCCCCCAACCACCCCGTACCGTACCGCACCACACCGCAGGAGTACGACTACACAAAGAAGGGGGAGCATTTCTACAAGTCTTGCAAGAGGTTTTAGATGTTAATTAAAACACTTAAGCTCCCACTCCCTCAACCACCCACACCCCCAATTTCCCCACCACACCACACCACACCACACCACCCTGTACCGCACTGCACCGCAGGAGTACGACTACACGAAGAAGGTGGAGCATTTCTACAAGTCCATTCAGTACGACAGCCACTCCATCTCGGCCGTCGACCCGGCGCTCTACGCCTCGCGCTTCCAGGACTTCATCAAGCTCACCTTCCCCACTGCTTGACAGCCACTGCATGAGTTAACTCTCTGGTTACCAACAAGCACATGACAGATGCAGTTTGGACTCCCGCCGTCGACCCCACGCTCTACGCCTCTCGCTTCCAGGACTTTATCAAGCTCACATTCCCCACTGCTTGACAAACTGACAATCACTGCATGAGCCTACCTACGCAAGAAGCATCCCAGGTGCTTGACAGGCATTAGGTATGTCCGATTTGAACTTCTGTTCGGGTTTGGTCATACCGTACTTGGTAAGATGCGAGGTGGTTATTTGCATGTTTGTGACTACAATGTATGTGTGAAGTCTAGTGTCATCTGGTACATAATTTTTTTTTGCCGTCCGTTATTTTATATAGAAGCGTGAGTGTACATATCCATGTGTATTTAAATATCTGATTACAAAACACACACACTACATCGCATCCCACCCCAAACTACTAGCTGATTTGTGTATCATCAATCCAAACTAAAGCAACATGGTAATGCCACAGCTAACACCACCCCACCATACATCCACACCATACACTGCGATAAGCCCAAACCTCAACTGCGTCCCAGCCACATTCGTCCTGCGTCCCAAACCTCTACTCTCCCAAAGGGCTCAATGACACATTTCAGCTTCTACTCTCCTCGCTCATGCCTTCAGAGCAAACCCCACCCCCTCCTCCTGTCTTATGCTTTGACTGCAAACCCCACCCCACCCCCTCCTCCCTTAGGCTTTGAGTGCAAACCCCAGCCCCTCCCCCGCCAGTGCCTCTAAGCTGCTCACTGCCGGCTGCTCCTGAGCCGCCTTAGCAATCGCCTTGTTCTCCTCCGCACTCCCCCCCTCCAGAAACGCGCCCACCACCTCACCATCCTCCCTTCAACCCGAAGGTTGACCCCTGACCGTCTTCGCTCACGCCTTAAGAGCAAACCCCAGCCCCTCCCCCGCCAGAGCCTCTAAGCTGCCCACTGCCGGCTGCTCCTGAGCCGCCTTAGCAATCGCCTTGTTCTCCTCCCCGCTCCCGCCCTCCAGAAACGCGCCGACCACCTTCCCGTCCTTCACCCAGTACGTGCCGAATTTCGCCGCCCCATCGCCGGCCGCCTTGCCGTCCGTGAGCCCGTAGTGCACTGCCTCGCCCACATTGTCACCGTAGAACTGCCAGGAGAGGTCGAAGGAGCGCGAGTAGAAGAAGGGCAGGTAGGCGTAGTCCGGTACCTGCTCCCCTGCCTCCGCTGCCTTGATTGCCTGTGGGAGGTGTGGGGGAGGTGGTGGGTGGGTGGGGGGATGGGAGGATGGGATATGGGGAGTGAGGGAGGGGAAGGGAGGAGGGGGCTGGCTTGCTGTCCTTGAGCCCACAGTGCAGCAGCAGCAGCAGCAGCCTCGCCCACGTTGTCCCCGTAGAACTGCCAGGAGAGGTCGAAGGAGCGCGAGTAGAAGAAGGGCAGGTAGGCGTAGTCTGGTACCTGCTCCCCTGCTTCCGCTGCCTTGATTGCCTGCGAGAGGTGGGGAGAGGTGGTGGGTGAGATGAGGGAGGGGGCAGATGGTTTCTTCTGGAGTGCGAGTAGAAGAAGGGCAGGTAGGCGTAGTCTGGTACCTGCTCCCCTGCCTCCGCTGCCTTGATTGCCTGGGAGAGGTGCGGGGGAGGTGGTGGGTGGGTGGGGGGATGGGAGGATGGGATATGGGGAGTGAGGGAGGGGAAGGGAGGAGGGGCTGCCTTGCTGTCAAGCCCATAGTGCAGCAGCAGCAGCAGCCTCGCCCACGTTGTCCCCGTAGAACTGCCAGGAGAGGTCGAAGGAGCGCGAGTAGAAGAAGGGCAGGTAGGCGTAGTCTGGTACCTGCTCCCCTGCTTCCGCTGCCTTGATTGCCTGCGAGAGGTGGGGAGAGGTGGTGGGTGAGATGAGGGAGGGGGCAGATGGTTTCTTCTGGAGTGCGAGTAGAAGAAGGGCAGGTAGGCGTAGTCTGGTACCTGCTCCCCTGCCTCCGCTGCCTTGATTGCCTGGGAGAGGTGCGGGGGAGGTGGTGGGTGGGTGGGGGGATGGGAGGATGGGATATGGGGAGTGAGGGAGGGGAAGGGAGGAGGGGCTGCCTTGCTGTCAAGCCCATAGTGCAGCAGCAGCAGCAGCCTCGCCCACGTTGTCCCCGTAGAACTGCCAGGAGAGGTCGAAGGAGCGCGAGTAGAAGAAGGGCAGGTAGGCGTAGTCTGGTACCTGCTCCCCTGCTTCCGCTGCCTTGATTGCCTGCGAGAGGTGGGGAGAGGTGGTGGGTGAGATGAGGGAGGGGGCAGATGGTTTCTTCTGGAGCGCGAGTAGAAGAAGGGCAGGTAGGCGTAGTCTGGTACCTGCTCCCCTGCCTCCGCTGCCTTGATTGCCTGGGAGAGGTGCGGGGGAGGTGGTGGGTGGGTGGGGGGATGGGAGGATGGGATATGGGGAGTGAGGGAGGGGAAGGGAGGAGGGGCTGCCTTGCTGTCAAGCCCATAGTGCAGCAGCAGCAGCAGCCTCGCCCACATTGTCCCCATAGAACTGCCAGGAGAGGTGGAAGGAGCGCGAGTAGAAGAAGGGCACGTAGGCGTAGTCTGGTACCTGCTCCCCCACTTCCGCTGCCTTGATTGCCTGGTGTGGTGAGGGAGGAGGATGAGTGTGGAGGGAGATGGAATGAGGGAAAGGGGGGAGGGTAGGTGTGTGGGTTCCTCCCATGGTCCTCGTGCTCCACGCACAGCTCATCACCACACTGCTTCATCACAAGGACTAGTGCGGAAGATCACTGCTAGCATGATTTACTTTTGAGACGTCTCAAAAGTCATGCTCCATGCATGCTCATCACCATACTGCTTCATCACAAGGACTAGTGCAGAGCAGAAAATCACTGTTAGCATGCTTGAAGGACACACGTACCTTCACAGCCTGCTGCACAGACTTCCTGGCATGGTCCACATGCTCCACGCGCCTCTCATCGCCATACTTGATCATGGGGAATGTGGCCACGTCGCCCACTGCGTACACGCCTGGCACGCTGGAAAGGAAGCGGGCATCTACCTGAAGGGGCGGAAGGGAGAGGGAAAGGGAGAGGGAGAGGGAGAGGGAGCGAGAGGAGAGGTGGGTAAAGGGAGGGTAGGGAATTGATGAGTTGGCTAAGAGCGAGGGGAATGTGGTCATGCTTCATATTGCGTGTACCCCTGGGGCGCTGGCGAGCAAGCCAGCATCCACCAGAGGGAGAGGGCACGAGATGGAAGGAAAGAGAGGAAGAAAGAAGGGGAGGAACAGCGGAAGGGCTTGGAACTCTGGAGGGAGTTAAGAGCATGGAAGAGGGGTTCAGGTGGAGCGAGTCACCTCACAAGCCCCTCCCTTGTCTCTCCAACCAACCAGCCCTATTCATCACCCATCTCACTTGTCTCGTGCCTTGCTCAGTCACCCTCTAACACCCCCCGCGCGCGCCTTAATCCCGCCCGGGTCGAAGTGCAGTGGAGCTGGTCCTTGAACAGCCGCACGTTTTGAGACGCTGCTTGCTCATTCACTCTCAAGTGTCCCCCCCATTCCTCACTCGCCTTGATCCCGCCCTTATCAAACGCGAGTTGGTCCTTAAAAGAGCCCCACGCTGGGGCGAGCGCCCACGCCCACCACCACCAGATCCGCCTCCAGAGTCTCCCCGTTCTTGAGCGTCACACTCTTCACGTGGCCCTCCTCGTTGGCTGTGAAGGCCTCACACAACCTTCCAACCAACCCCACCATACGACTCACATGCTGCTGAATCACCCTCAGTGCATCAAACCCACCTTGATCCCGCCCTTATCAAACGCGAGTTGATCTTTGAACAGACCCACGTTGGGGCGAGCCCCCACGCCCACCACCACCAGATCCGCCTCCAGCGTCTCCCCGCTCTTGAGCGTCACACTCTTCACGTGGCCCTCCTCCGTCACCCTCTAATTCCCCCTGCACCCACCTTGATCCCGCCCTTATCAAACGCGAGCTGGTCTTTGAAGAGCCCCACGTTGGGGCGAGCGCCCATGCCCACCACCACCAGATCCGCCTCTAGCGTCTCCCCGCTCTTGAGAGTCACACTCTTCACGTGGCCCTCCTCGTTGGTTGTGAAGGCCGTGGCGACGGTGCCCTTCACAATGGTGACGCCCTTGGCCTCGTAGTACCCCTCGTAGAACGCCGCGAGGGTGGGGGTGAAGAGACGCGGCACTGGTGGAAGAGGGGGAGGGATGGGGTTGCACGGGAGCAGTGAGCGCGCCTTGACGATGGCCGTGGCGACGGTGCCCTTGACGATGGTGACGCCCTTGGCCTCGTAGTACCCCTCGTAGAACGCCGCGAGGGTGGGGGTGAATAGACGCGGCACTGGTGGAAGGGGAGGGAGGGGGAGAGGGCGAGGGTGTAGGGAGAGGAAAAGGGGACGGGGTTGCATGGGAGCAGTGGAGATGGCGCCTTTGGCGATGGGAACAGCGCACCCCCCGCTCTTGAGCGTCACGCTCTTCACGTGCCCCTCCTCGTTGGCTGTGAAGGCCGTGGCGACGGTGCCCTTGACTATGGTGACGCCCTTGGCCTCGTAGTACCCCTCGTAGAACGCCGCGAGGGTGGGGGTGAAGAGGCGCGGCACTGGGAGGAAGAGGGGGAGGGATGGGGTTGCAGTGCACGGGAGCAGTGAGTGCGCATTGACGATGGCCGTGGCGACGGTGCCCTTCACTATGGTGACGCCCTTGGCCTCGTAGTACCCCTCGTAGAACGCGGCGAGGGTGGGGGTGAAGAGACGCGGCACTGGTAAAAGGGGGGAGGGATGGGGTTGCACGGGAGCAGTGAGTGCGCATTGACGATGGCCGTGGCGACGGTGCCCTTCACTATGGTGACGCCTCGTAGTAACCCTCGTAGAAGGCCGCGAGGGTGGGGGTGAAGAGGCGCGGCACTGGTGGAAGGCGGGGAGAGGCAAGGAGTGAGCGGTAAGTGGGAAAGAAAATGGGGCTTCACCGTGCCCTTCACAATGGTGACGCCCTTGGCCTCGTAGTAACCCTCGTAGAAGGCCGCGAGGGT